ACCAGGTGATAAATATCAAAAAGCCCTACACTTACAGCGACCATGTGCCAAATAAAAAACTTCAGATATAATTAAAAAAGCATAACTTTTAAAAAGAAAAGCCTGTTTAAAAATGAGGTCAAAATAAACCTGCTGGCTGGGAGTAGTGCCCACAGCTGGCTCCTTGTTATTCAGTATAGTAAGCGATTCAACACTTATACCAATTTGAGCGCTGTCAGCAGCGTTCATCGCCTGAGTTCGCATCGACGAGAACAGGCCACCATGCGCAGCGTCCATTTTATGAAGCTTAAAATACTCATAATGCATCTCAAACACTTCTCATTTTCAAAATTATACTATTTCTGGTCAATTAACTCTTCGTGATCCGGAAATGACAACATTCGAGACGAAACAACATATGCCAAAGGCATCATGAAAAGACTTCAGCCTCGTCACGTACTTCTGTCGGGAGAACCGCCAGGCTGGCATTCTTAAAAAAAACTTTCTTACCAAACTGACTATAAAGGGATGCAGCATTGGTCAGAGCGACCCGAAGATTTTGCTATCTGCATAGCTCGAGAACAAGCCTATGAAATACTGCTGATCCGAGTTTCTAAAAATCCGCAGTAGTGTATGGAATTTTGAGGAAAATTTCTCACTAAACTATTCATCTTCTATCGAATTACAGCCTCTTCGAAAGTCCAGACCAGTACGATCAGAAATGCCTTTTGTAGCCAGAATTTAAGGTCCTTTGGGACATCTGGAAAAATTCCTGCCCCGGCTAACGTCCACGTGAAGAGTTGAACTACAGGGCGGCAAAATGCCAGCACGATTGCATTACGTCGAGCATTTCTCTGTCAGAAAATGTAGAAAGCTGGAAAGCGAAGGGCAGAACCACTGGGACAAGGTATGCAGAGATTTTATCAAATATTACCTGAGCAACTCGAAATATAGCACTTGGCTTATTGTTTGATATGGACCCAAGATAATGCCAGTTTGTTTCCACGCCGAGCTGTGGCCAACGAATATATACTGAAGAAGACAGCACATGTGAACTCGTGCGGTTCAGAAACAGCAAAAGTTTTCGAAAGAAACAAAAAGGCGCTTTAGCTGGCGTAAAATTTTGCTGCACAGGAATGGAAAAATGAGCAGAGAGATGAACGAAATTAATAACACTTGGTTTTTTTTTTTTTTTTTTTTTTTTTTT